CAAAGCCTCTCCCTCAGTCTTTTCCTGCCATGCAGAGCAGCTCTCCTGGACAGGGACAGCAGATGGGACATCTGGGAGGCAAAGGGAAGAGCGAGTCAGTGCTGGGACCTTTCCCTTGGCAGCAGCTGCACTTCCAGCAGGGAAGCGAAAATCTCCGAGCCTCCCCAGGAGGGTTGGCAAGAACAAGCAGGCCGAGCGGGCCAGCGTGTGGCGAGCGCAGGCGCGGCGGGACTGTCCCGCAGCCCCCGGCAGCCCGGCACAGCTCCCGGGCCCTGCCGGCACAGCTGCCTTGCCCAAGGACAGCCCCTGTGCCGGCCGGGGCAGCAGCGCTGAGCAGCCCCAGCACGGGCAGGGGCCGCTCCTGCCCGGCCGGGCAGCGCCCACGGCCAAAGCCCACGCCACCCTCAGCCCTGCCCGGCCTCACCAGCCCTGGGGCCTCACCCAGGCTCTCGCGTGGCCCCAGCACATCCCTGCTCACTGCTCTTGCTCCAGGCCTTCAGCTTCTCCCTGCTGGCTCCTCTCAGTGTCTGGCTCTCCTCAAGCTCTTCAGGACAGCTGTGGTGGCAAAAGTGGAGGCTCTGCAATTGGTTGCAAGGCCTGGCAGAGCTGCAGTCCCTGAGCTCTGTGTGCTCCCTCCTGGCCCCCTCCATCCCCTTAGCCCCGCCGTCCTCTCGGCAAAGCCCCAGCCCCCTCTTCAGTTTCTTGGGCCTCTCCCAGGCCTCTCCCCCCGGCTCAGTCCCTTCTGAGCCGTTGTGTCCCCTCAGCGCCGGCACAGCCCTCAGCCCGTGCCTCTGTCACCTCAGTGCCACCATGGCCCTCTGCTCCCCCACAGCCCTCAGTGCCCCTCACACCTCAAGGTTTGCAAGGTCCCTTCAGCATCAGCGCCTCCTCAGCCCCCTCAGTCTCAGCGTCCTTCAGCAGCTCCTCACAGGACAGTGCCTGGGGCCAGCGGCAGCTCCCACTGCTCCAGGGACAGCCAGGGCTGCAACTGCTGCTCCGCCTGGCCCGGCCCCAGCTCGGACCCAGCACAGGGGGACACAAGGGGCACAGCGGGAAAAACAAGAGATGAAAAAGGCAGCCAAGGGGGAAAGAGGCAAAAATGCAGCCTACACAGCTCAATCTATGGAGCTCTACATCCACATCGCTCTAATTAAAGAACTATGCACATTTAGGAATGTAACTGCGTGCACATAGAAATGTTACTCTCTACATATATAAATGCATATTTGAAAATCTATAAATCTAACTGTATACATAGAAATAAAATCCTATAGCATCCATAACTAACTACAGATAAAAACTATACAGATGTATAAATAGAAACACCTATAAATACAACTCTATCAATCTACACTGGTAACTATATCGATAAATAAATAATGATAAAAAAATCTATAACTATATCTATAAACAGAGGGATGCCACCTGCCCGATGGTCACAGGCTCTCCCTCTGATCCTTCTTCCCACGCAGGGCAGCCCTTCTGGCCAGGTAGATCACATGGATATCTGGCAAGGAAAGGCAACTCTCAGTCAATGCTGGCCTCCGTGTAGCTTTCCCTTTGCAAGTAAACTGTCCTGCTAGCAAAGGCTGTCAAAGATGGCCTGAAAGGCACACTCTCACTTGAAAATTTGAAGCCTGCTCTTTCAAGAACAGGGATCCTTCCAAGTTTTCCAGTCTTGTGAAGTTTTGAAGTACGCCAATCAATTCACAACCCTCCCAGTGCAAATGGCACCCCCGAGAGCTTGAAACACAGACAGTGCCAGCTGCCACAAAGAAGCCCAGCCTTGTTCTTTCTCTGGGCTGACGCAGAGACGTCAGTCCTCACTGCAGTGGCTGAAGCTGAAGGCTGCTGTGAGCTGGGAACCAATTGGGACACGCAGCTTGGTGACACAACTGCCACCAGCTCAGGTTTCTTGCCGGCTCTCTTGCCACAGCAGAGGACTCGGTGTCAGAGCCTCTGGAAAAGCATGGAGAGGCAGGGCTCAGGGAGCTTGTGCCAGTGCAGGATTGGAACTAAAGGCACCAGGAAGCACCAACCCTGCTGCAGACAAGAACTCAACTCTTCTGATCTCACTTCCTGTCAGAGGCAGGCTCAGAGCAGCTGTCTCCCATCTCTCTAAAGCAGGCTGGGCTCACTCCTTACCAAGCTCCTCGGGCTCCTGGCAAACGTTCACACGGCTCCCGCAAGCAGGCAAAGCTCCCTCTGCTGCAGCCTTGTTCACAGCCTCCCCTCCTGAAGAGCCACGGGCAACACTAGCATTGACCTGAAAAGAAAAACAGAAAGAAGGAAACGCAAAGATCAACCAATAGATTCTGCAGGGATACAATCAGAGCCTGCCAGATTTCCTTCTGTGCACCAACAAATTGCTTTTGAAAACTGGTATATACGCGGGAGTTTGCAGAAGACAAAGGCTCATCGCGCTTGGCAAGAAGATATGGGCAGTTCCAAAAAATCCCCCTCCCCACCTCCAGTCTGCCCTTCCTCAAGAAGAAATCTACCCATGCAATGCGTCTGCATATTAAATGAAAGAAGAGAAATTCTTTGGCAAAGTTGTAGAAGAAGATGCAAAAAGGCCTGTGCCAATGCAGAAACTGAACACTCCAGGCCAGTCTGGGAAGAGAGAAGACTAAAG